GTATCGAACGGTTCAATATCGATACGAATATCGTTGCACCCCTAATAATTATATATCCAAAATATTATTTCAGTTTATTTCAGGTATGCTTGATGTCTTCCAGTTAGTAAAACTTTACTAAATATATGTAAATAAACAAAACAAAAATCAAGAAAAAAACAAAATCACACAGTGGAAACATGGAGGTTACCTGGGTCCAAAAGTTTTGCCCATGGCCACCTAAATCTTATTAATCTGCCCCTGGTTTCACCCAGTGGAAGCTGGTATAAAATCTCCTTGGCTCTGAATGAGAATGACAGTTAATAGTAATATATTTACATAAATTAATTTAAAAGAATTTATGCAATAACCTTGGTTTAAAAAAACTTTAATCTTGCACCTTCCAGTATTATAACCCAAAATGCAATATTACAGCTGCATAAGTTAGTTATGATATTCAAGGTCATCTTAACCTCCTAGGACCTGGCGTCCACATATATGGACATCACATTTTGGGTTATTTAGACCAAAATACTCAATTTTGCTCCACAAGGGCCTGATATCCACTTACGAGGACATTATGCTGCTACTGTTCTATCAAAATGTTAAACGAATATCCTCATATGTGGCTCTGATTTGTCTTAGAAACAAAAATAAGGTAAAAAAAAATATCTGGTAATTCTTTGTTTTTACATTCATCGGGTCCCAATCAGCCCAAATATCAATATTTTACCTTGTTTTAAGGAACTTTAATTTACTCTGGTCATTTTGAAAAAGAATCTTTGGATTTTCTTCCTAAGCCTTACAAAGATAATGCACATCAACACAGTCTTTTAATACTCCCAGTGTTCTTGCAGTCATTCCCTCACTTTTTTTGATGGTAGTCAGTCAGATTCAAAGGTCAGACTTTCCTGTGTCTGGCAGTTGAAATATTGACCTGCAGGTTACAAGCCCACATGCCTAACCTTCGTCCTGCCAGTCTAAAGAGGCTTTGTCAATGTCAGACAAATGTCATAGCAAGAGTGACTGTCACAGAGATCTGGTAGAAAAATTGTCTGTGCTCATATAATGGCTGTAATTATATCACAACTAGGGCAGAAAAAGAAGGAAGCCGAAAAGAGAAAATCATAGTGTGGGTGAAAGTTTGTTCAGTGATATAAGTAAGATTGAATGGTCTGATGAGACACAGACAGCCTATTTCCAAATATAACCTACTGTAACACAGTAAACTGTCCTGCTTTTGCTTGCTGCCTTTTTGACCACAGTTGTGTTAAGGAGAAGGAATATGCCAAGGTGCCTTTAGTGCAGTGATATAGGTAATTAACCAAGCTAATTTAGCACAGTAGATGAATGGTACCGATGAGCTGCAGCAGCTAAGATACAGCCACTTAAAATGGCCACCTCATCAGCAACAGGGCCATGATGGATCCCTGGTTGAATCCTGACCGACTGCCGAATGATGGGTGATCGTATTGGTATCCCCCGTCTAGGACGCCTGGATGATGCAATCATGAGTAGTAACGCCCCTAAGCGGCATTTAGGAAAACCAGTAGTAATGGTAAAGCAGCGTGGAGATGCATTCATTTACAGGCTTGCTACACTATATATATATATGAGTTTGCATCAAATAAGGTACAGGTTGTGCACACCAAAAAAGCCAGACAGAAATTGATGCTTGCATTCTTGCTGACTTCAAAGCATAAAAACGTGATTTCATTGCACTGCTAATGTTCTTATATAAAATGCAAAATTTAAATTTAAATGCGCCCTAATTGGGGATGTGGCACTTTGTTGTGAATATTTCTGATGATTAATAAGGTCAGTGAAATGCTGCTGTAGGAGTGAACTCCATAGCTCAGGCACTGTGCTTAAAACTATTGGTAATTCTCGCCATTTACGTTTTCCCAATAAATTAACAGTAATGGCTAATGATCACATTCAAGCTTGCTTACTCAAGTTGTCTGCCGCTAAACTTAGTCTGTGTCCAAAGAGCAGCTTTGAAACGCCTTCATAAAACCAGAGAGCACTTTAAAAAAACAACAACAAGCTAGGTGAAAGTCTGGGCGCTATTATGTAAAATCTAGAGAAATTATGGATCGCGCAAGACTTTTGCACAATATAAGATTTTAACGTAATCTAAAGAATAAATCAAAATATTAAGTTGCAACCTAAAAGAAAAATTGAAGGACATGCTAATGATTAAACAGAGGTCTGAAGAAATAAGACCCAGCAAGCAATAAGCTAAATGAAAAATTAAGTTCTATCAGTCTCAAAAATAACTTCCACATCTGGATCTACGAGGAAGCTTGTGTGCAAAAAAATGATTTCTTTATTTCTTTACGAAAGCTGTCAAAAGAATTTGAAATTCAATTCATTGTTTTCATAGCGCCAAATCAAAACGGTGCCTTCAATGAGTTTTATATTATAAGGCAAAGACCCTACAATAATACAGAGAAAATCATCTATAGCTAACTATACAAGTCAAAGTTTTTTTGAAGAAAGCACCATCTCATGGTGACACTGTGCATTTGGGTGAAAGGGGCGTGTTTATAGTGAAAAGTAGATACGTCCCAAGGGAAAGAGGGGGGACACTTAGCGGCTGACATTCAACTGAGGGCTGGCTATCGTTGACTACCAGATCTCTGACTGAAAGCAGCAATTTTGAGTCCTTTGATGGGAGACTGATGGCGGTCCATAACCATTGTGTCTCTAGGTTTGAGGTCAGCATGCACTATTCCCAGAGAGCTTAGGTGGAACAGTGCATTTGCTAGTTGATGTAAAATTGGCCTCATTTCTCTTATGTAGAGAAGCTGGTTATTTTCCGATCCTTAATGTAGTCAGACAGGCTCTAATCAAGCTGTTCAGAATTTAAGTAGATACGCTTCCCTGTTGTTTATTCCATCATATAATCGAGTCAAAAAATACTTTTGTCTTATTAATGAGAAATAATACATATTCCAAAGAGAAAAAAACACAGGTCTTTCACAATGAACGGCTCATTGGTTTCCATTTCAGAAATTGGAGTGTTTTAAGGTTTAACTGCATACAACATCTGCCAAAAAAAAAAAATGCCAACTAAACCCTTTTATGTACGTGTCATATTGAAATAAATTATTTAAGTACAGTCAAAGATCAAAGTCAAAAAAAAAAGTTTGCTCTGTCATCTTGGAGGCTTTCTGAGATTAATAGGAAGCAAGTTTTTCTGCTGCTGAAAACGGATGTTGTTATGTTGCAAACATTGATTAATATTAATAATAATTCAGTGTCCAGAATAACAACCCTCAGGTCAGTGGCTCAGAGTTTAATGGCCAGTGAACATTTTTATTGGCTTATGAAAAAAGCTTTTATTCTTATATTTTTAAATGTTAATTTAATTAACACAATATTGTATTTTTTTTTTCACATTTACTCTGAAAAAATATTACAAAAGCCTTGACATTAATGTGGTCATGGCCCCCTTTAGACTCACCCCTGTTTGCTGCAGTTATCACTTCCTGTAAAATAGGCTGTCAGCCTTCAGCAAGTGGTTTTACACAGAGAAAAATCTGCAGTAAGGCTCCAGAAGTTGTATTAAAATATACAGATGAACTGTTAACTTAACGCATGTCACATAAAATCTCTCTATATTCTTTCTGTCTTTTACAGGGCTCCCGGTCCAGTGGCAAGGTGCACAGCTTTGGGAAGAGAGAGCAGTCCATCAAGAGGAATCCCAACGTCCCTGTGGTGGTCCGCGGATGGCTGTACAAACAGGTTGGGACACTCAAACGGAAACACCAATTGTAACTTACATACAGTCACATCAAGACTAATGTTGATAAAGTTTGAACTGGGTTTGCTTGATTTGCTTTTTTTACGCCTGAATAGGACAACTTTGTGATAGTTTAAGATTTAAAAATGAAAATAAATGTGAAAAGTGTACATAATAGTGTAAAAATGTGTTTAGCACATTAGATAATACTTTTGTTCACTTATTTGGCAATTATTATTTTAAAGTAACCAAGTACGTTTTATATAAAATGTCTTTCTTTTTTCTTTGAAATCTAAATTCAGCTATAGATATATAGCTTTTAACTTCTACGTCTATAAATATATAAAACATATAGCTTTAAACAGCCTGCAGACATTTAATGAAATACTGTCATGCTGAAAAAAGTTGCAATTAGCCTGATAATAGTAGTTATGGAGAAAATAATTGTCGTATACTTTTAAAGTATTTATGAGACTACTGGTACTGTGCTTTCTTTTAGTCAGCAATCCCTTAATCCAGCATGATTCTCTAACATTTCCTTCAGTAACCCAGTTTGATATTTTTCTTGATTTATTTCCTTTGCTTTGGCAATATTGAACACCTGCTGTTAATCACAGACAGCCTGTTACTAGAGACTACTTGTTTATTTGAAGTTATACTTAAAATATCTGTTGTTGGCATCATCCCACTGGGAGATTCTTGGCCTCCGTACAAGACAAACAGTGAGTGATGTTACTATGAAGCAATATTTTAATGTCCACACAAAGAGGCATGCCCACACAGTCACACAGACAGTAGCACACTCGCAACTGTGCACACGATCTATTTACTGCAATTACATTATATTTTAATTAGAAAGAAACCCTTTAAAATGCTCTGGGGTGCATGAATGCACACAATTTGAATCCTATTTTGGTGCACATAAATATAAGCACATTGCTATAAATAATTATACACACTGATGCACAGATGTCCACTATCATGGCCAGACTGACATAATGCAGTTTATGCCTTTCATCCACTCACATGCTTGTATTATATGGTCGTAGCATCATACATCTTCAGCCACTGCTGTATCTGCTCAGCTCTTCAAATGGACCTATTTTCAGCCAAAGGACATAAAAGACAAAATGGGCAGTAAAGCACTCATGGCAGACTCAGTGAGCCAGCGAATGAGGACAAATGATCACTCCCTTCCCCCTCTGTCTTTTCTCTTTTCCTTTGCATGTACCCACCTTACTACTGTCCCTCACTTCCCCTTTCTGCATCCTTATTTCTCAGGCTCTTCCTTCCTTTCTCATTACCTCCTCTCTCTTCTTATTTAAGAGCTCTCTAGTCTTGCTTGTTATCTTCTCCAGTTAGTGGTACTTCTCGTCTTATTATTTATGCATTCTTCACTTAAACTCTTTACCGCTCTTTCTTTTTCAGGACAGCTCTGGGATGCGTCTTTGGAAGAGGAAATGGTTTGTCTTGGCTGATTTCTGTCTGTTTTACTACAAAGGTAAGTCTTTGTGGAATGTTAAGTGAAAGTAGTGTGGGATCTGAATGCCCTGTTGTGCCAATAATATTTGATTTGCCAAGAGAGCTCTATAAACTACAGGTTCGTCTTGCTAGTCAATTTCTTTTTGTTTTATATTTGTTTTTTTAATTATTATTCACATTAATATGTGTTTTGCATAATAATGCCAGAACTGACATTTATGAAGAAAGGAGAAGAGCAAGCCAAAAAATTCCATCCTATCCCAACCCGATGTACTTTGACACGGGGACACAGCCAGCCCAAGCAGGGTGTAAGAAGAAGCAGTTTAAATGAAAAGTTATAATCTGTTAATCCTCAAAAGTTCCTTTTAAGACAAAATAATTGAAACATCATTAGAGGAAATCACACATCATAACTGGCATGCCTCTGCAGCCTTCATGAAGTAGCTTATCTTTGATTCAGTAGCTCGCAGTGTCTCATCCAAACTTTGTAGAACTTGATGCAGACGAGAAAATGGCCATTGCGTTAGGCTGTATTATACTCTGCATGTTTCTCTTTGGTATTGATTGAAAAATTAAATGCATAAAATGATACACTTCCGGTGAGGAGAGTTTATTATGAGAGGATGGAAAGATCCACAATCAATGCAAAAGGTTAAAGGACAAAGATCAAAGTAGACTATGACAGTTTTCGGTAAACTGCAGCTGACAAAGCAGCCAGAAATTCACTTTAGGTGAGCAGTAATCTCTATATCTGTTATGTGGTTCCAACCAATGAACATGTACACACTGCTTACACCGATGCTCTACATCACACACACCATCACAATTGGTCTACCATTCCCTGCTTGTCGCTATCTATCTCTCCACACCATTTTTATCTCCATGGTTGTAGCCAAACATTTGGGACACGCTCCGCTGCCTGCTCACCTCGACAGGAGGGTGAAATCAATTCTGTTGTTTTTGTTTTTTCCCTTTTTTCTGTCTTCTCGCTCAGTTCAAAGGTTTCTCCTCCCAACATGAGCACACTTGATCTCTCTCTTCAACACGACTTATCTCCTCCCTTTCCTACCCAAACAGTCAAATACGGCTTTGCTATCTTTGTTTTTTATTAAGACTTTTCTTGTTTTGATGATAAATGTCAGAGCTTTTACAGTAAGTTTTTTTTAATACCAACATTATATTTGCATGAAAATACTGACTCCTTAAAACAACATTACGCAATTAAATGCATATATAAAAATGAATTAGCAGTTGCTGAAAATGATTCTCACATCTTTTCTTTGTCATTTTCTTTCTGGGTTTTGATCCGATGGTTATGGGAAAACAAGAATTTGAAAATGCCAAGCTGAGTTCTAGAAATTCAGATTATAATTAGAATAAAATAAAATATTAAAACTTCTCAGTATTTTTAACCCTTACCCATCTATGGAAGCCGACTTTACTTTAATAGACTTACATGAAAAGAAAAGAAAATAGTGGTATTTGTGGGAACAACCTATGAACAACTCTTACTAGACTGAAATGCACAATTTTATTCAGACCCATCTGAGAGTGCAGAAAATCCAGAATCAGTAAGTCTTATGTTTGCACCTGCATGGCCTTTGTCCTTCTTTAATATTGGAGTAAGCTGATGGCACTTGGGATGAAAGACTGGCTGCAGCAAACTGAATCTAGTGATTGCACATCAGTCTCTGGAGGGCTTTGCTGTCACTAAAAATGTGCTCTCCAATAAAGTTCTCAGATTAGAGATGATTATTTAGTTGGTATTGTGCTTTTGCGTTTCCAGCAGTTTTATTGTGTGAGCTGCGTTTGCATTTTGTAAGTAGTCCTTCATGGGAGCAATCTACACACGCATGGTGCTGAGAGCTTCGAAATTTATGCACACTCACACACAAGATAATATTTGTACGCACTGTTTTCACAAATGACTGTGACTGTGTGCAGGGATCATTGATGAACGAGGCCCCTTTGTTTCTTCCTCTTTTTTCCCCTCATATGTCTTCTGTGGTCTGTTTTCAGTCAAGTCAGTTTTATTTTTAAAGCCCAATATCGCAACTCAAATTTGACTCAAGGGGCTGTACACTGTATGTCATACCCCGCAAAGTGTGTGAGACAGACGTGGCAGAGCAGATAAAAAAGACCCCACTATCTTGCCCACCATTTAGGGAATGTCCCCTTCAAAGGTCCTTGAATTATTTTTAACCAATTACTCCTTTAGCTACAGCGCCGTCTTATCACCTCTCAGCCAAACCGCCCACATACGCAGGTGCTGCATGCACACGCACACATTTTCATGCTATTGCTAAATTTTACGATGTGGTAATCGTCGCACATGGAGACACTGTCCTTACCATACACATTCTAGCATGCTATTACAATATTCAGTGGAAAACAAATATGTGATGAATTTTTGTTTATAAAACACTGCGAAGTGTTTTTGGAGACTTTTTTTTTTCTTTGAAGGGTAAAAGTTGAAGACCGTATTGCATCAGTGATGGTTCTTACAAAGGACAGATCTGTGTGTGTGTGTGTGTGTGTGTGTGTGTGTGTGTGTGTGTGTGTGTGCATGTGCTGACTGTGATCTCAACGTGTAAACTGGACGGGGCAGAGGCTGAGGACAGGCGGCCGGCTGCCAGCTGGAGCAGAGGAGCTTTAACTCTGTGACACTGGCATGCCAGAGTGGTCATTTACTGTTTGGCATACACTGTGGTATGAGTGATGTCATACGAGTGCGTGTTTGTCAGTGTTGTGATACTGGTGGCTGGCAGTGAGGAAATTAGTGGGCTGATGAGTGATATTTATTCTGTCGCTCCTTCCTGTCCTCTATATCTCTTGCCTGTCTTTTTTCCCCCTCCACCTTACCCCGCTGACCTCCCCTCTCTCGTTCTTCTCTCTCTCTTTCTCGCTCTATTTCCAGACAGCAGAGAGGAGTCAGTCCTGGGCAGTATTCCTCTGCCCAGCTATGTCATTTCACCAGTGGGACTCGAGGATCACATCAACCGCAAGTATGCCTTTAAGGTACGCCTCTTTTTGTTATACAGAGTATTTATCCGATTTTGATTGCTGTTTATCTTTTTTCTGTCTTATAGTTGCACTTTTTCTTGGTTCTTGGTTAAAAACAAAACTTGGAATGATTCCCTCTGGGTGTTTCTCATATACTGATGTCCTGTTAGCCAATTAAACCACCAGAACCATCTGAACATTAAAATTTAAGGTTTGTCGGGAAGATAAATTTATTAGACTGTAATATTTTTTCAGCTCTGCCGTGACAGTGTTAAACATGGCCACAAATTGAAAGAGGCATCATGTATAAGGTATTCCAGCTTTAGAAGACATAGATAATGGGTTTTATTCCCACAGGAGCCACTTGAGATAAAACAACCCTTGCTATTTAAAGCACTTTCCAAGAAGTGGTCTATATCATCACCGAGAGCAGTTTGAAATAACAACACAAAAACTGCTTTACTGCAGAAGGCCTGTGTAACACCTGCTGTATGAAAACATACAACATAACTTTATAAACATATTTATTCATATGTTTGTGATCTATGTGTGCAGACACTGTTTTTTTGTCTGATTGTAAACTTCATAGCAGTAACACGTCTTTGGGTTGAAAACAAAGTCAGAGTTTAAATTTGTGTACAGTTAAAATGTTTATTAGATTTTAAATCATGACCTTCTCAAATTGAAATGAAATGAAAATGAAATACAATTCTGTCTCTTTCACAGACTGTTATCTTCCTACAGTAAAAACCTGCTAGTGAAGCCACCACTCAGCTTCATTGTGCAGCACTTACCAGCTGTTGTAGTAATGTCTATTACCACTGATTGTCTGTCTTTATTGAGACAGACAAGCATGTCTGGAATGGCATGAAGCTTTTCTGTTCCCCGAGGCACAAGTTTCTGAGTTAAACCCAACATGTGTAAAATTAAGAGGCTGGATTACTGTACAGCACGCACTGTCCTATACTGCAGGAGGGATTTCCACACATTTGCAAGAAGATACAGTATATGCACAGGGTTTTTATTTGCTTTTTGTGAACATGGTTAATTGAACTTTTGGTTTATTCTGGGAAGGAACATGTTTTCTTGTCTGTTAAAGACATATTCCTGTGACCAGAGATTAGCAAAAGATCCATAAATTGTTCTTTAGCGAGATATATTTTTAGTCTTTATGCATTGAAATATAGTCATTGAGGTGGCTAATGGTCCATTTTATAATTTGTAAACTGGACTGAAGTTAAGCACCTTCTAGTTGAATTGACAGCTGGATTGAATCCTACTAAATGTAATTTACCCCCCCCCCCCCAAAAAAAAAAAAAAAAATAAATAAATAAATAAATAATAAATAAAATTTAATAAATCATGCATGATTTAAATTTGGCAGATTTCGTCTTTCCTCTTTGAGTAAATCTGCATCTCTTCCGGTTTGGCTGCAGTATGAAGATACTCTGAAGGTTTTTTGGTTTTATTTTGGCTTTTTTTACACGATGATCTTGAACTTGTGTGGAGATCAAACATAATTTTCTCTGTCAAATGAATGAAACAGATGCAGCTCAAATGAAGGACCATTGCAGTTGAAAAGAGTTGGAGACCAAACAGGAGGTTTTCTCTGGAAAGCACCACAGTGTCCAAGCCCAGAGGCTGTGTATAAGCGCAGACGTTTTGCTTTCTCGCACATTCAAGAGGTTGCGCACCATGAATTTATCCCCTAGGGTCAGACTGTCAGTGCCGAGCTCTGCAAAGACAGAGGGAGGATGTTTGCTGCTGAAATGATGCCACACACTGTTGTGCGCTGTTTCACAGCAGTGCCTAAAATCATGTGAGTTTTTTGGCTTTTTCAACACAGTCTTTGCTGACCACCTGCATCGTTTGCCAGATTTGGCTTCCTGCACCTGTGCCCTCTTTCTCCAAATAAAGTTGAAGTTAAATTTCATTCTGACAAAGTAGAGGAGCCTACATTGCAGATTTTCAAGCTCAGATGTTCAGAGCAGGACACCCCAGGAACAATCTAAAAATGGCATTTCTGGAAGCAGCGTTAGGCGCACATGGAGATGAACTCGGAAACAAGACTGCAAAGTTTGAATCAACATTTTTGTTTTATTTTTTATTTAACAAATAGATTCATAAAACATATGATTGCATTGCAAATGCTAAAACTCAGACAGACTAGATGAATAAAGATGTTTACGATACTTTATCCCAAAAGTTTACTGTACTGGAATTTACTATAGCACTGCAGCTTAAAAACATTAAAAACAACATAGCCTGTTAAAAATAAATACAATATCACAAAACAAAATAGTCCCAAAATGTAAAAGGTTACACAAAAAGAAATCAATAAAAACAGAAACTGGAAACAAGAGAAGAGTTCAGTAGATCCAAACCTAAATATAATACACTGAGGAAAGATTTTCTGCATTTGTCCTTGTGATAGAAGAGCCCAAACAGATGTAAGACAAAGTGCTCCACTGCCCGTCCAGTAGGCAGTGGGCAGAACAAGTCACCTGTTATTTATCCGAAGGCATTCACTGTAGTCAGTCGTTTGGGTCGTTTTGGAGGAATCCAAACATACCTGTCTCACCTTAACCAACAGGTGCTGTAGTGGGGGGATAAACCCAGTAAAACCACATTTTACTGTAACTTTTTCTCCATCTTTACAATATTTTCTTGACAAACTGAATCAGTGCATAAGTTAGATGTTAAAAATACATATCAGGAGCCATTTAGTCATTTTGTTTCTCTGCAATTTAAATTTTTTAGACATGCCATAAGGTGTGAAAAAACAGTTTCTCAGGGACACTTGCTAATTGTAATGCACCGTTGCTCATTCTGACGTTATTATCAGAATTTAGGATTCTGTGGAACATATAATTTGCTTCCCCGTGACAGTTATTTCAGCAAACCTAGATTTTAGATGCCAAAGTGAATATTTTTAATAAAACAGGCTCTTGTGTGTCTGTTGACATCAGTGATACCGTAACCATTTCACACTTTGCCTCTCAAACAGTGAAAGGTATAGAGTAATAATTATATAGTTAAATAATAATCAATGATAATATATTTAAAACCAAGAAGTCAGTAGTGAGCAAAAACAAAAAGCATATAAAGTACATTGCAGGGTTCTTAATCACCACAAACGATTAAGATAGGTAGCTAATATGGATTTACATGAAAATGTGTTAAGTTTGTGGTTCGATGCTTTCTTGTGATTGTTTTCTGGTTGCCTTGAAATAAAATATTACTTGATACTACTTACTTACAACCTACTGTCTAAAATGAACAAAAATATTGGCTTATATGTCGTCCTTTTAAACACCAAATATCTGTCCTGATATTGGTCTTAAAACTCCCTTATCAGTTTGGCTCACAGATGAAATATTTTTACCGTGATCTGGAAACCCTAAAGGAAGCCGTGAAGTTCTCCTACTTTTTTATTTATTCATGATGTTTTCAGCAACCTTAAATCGGCTTATAATATTCTAGTGATGATTTCCAATAGTTCCTTGATGCAGTGATGTGGAAGTGCACCCCAGGTACAGTGTGACGTCACTCTGGCGTATATACAGTTATTCACCCTTTTGAAAACATTGAACTATGCACATAACTTGTTCTGGATGCTGATGAGGTTAAACCAAAGCACTGATACTCAACCTGGTAATAAGTTGGTCTTTAGCACCACTGTCAGTATGTGCGGTCATATGCAGAGTGCCCCACTTCATTAAACACTGCATGCATCACAACATCAAAACAACAACTTTAAAGCAAAAAGAAGACCGCTACCTTCCTGTGCTAGATAATGGTGGGTATTTGATTTGGACTACAGTTTTTGAACTACTACGGTGCTGACTACTAAATCAACGTATACCCATTGGGACTGCACAAATTGTGCCTTCGGGTTCCCACGATGAGTTCCCACCCTACTTTCCCCTCCTTCCCCTATTCACTGAATGCTCTTCCCTCTCTTGTTCCCATTGGCTGGCTGCCTGACTGGGACTTCCCTCCCGCCCTGAGACTGTCGCACCATCCAGTGACAGTCCTCCCATAAATAGGTACTCTATGCTCTCATGTTCTCTCACTTTGCCAGATGTAAGCCTTATATATCCATGTTGTCTGCCTTTGGTGTGGCCTTTTGATTCAGACTGGACAGAATATACAGCAACCTTGTATATTCTTTTGATTTCTGATGCATGTCTTGGTAGTAACATCTTCTTTTGGCTGAAGTTGTTGTCTTTTTCATTTTTTTTCCATCAGTGTTCTCTTATTTAAATTCCCCTCTGTTGTTTTTCCTGTTTCACTTTCGCCTACTTCTTATCGCAGTGTGAATCTTTGTATTTGCCTTATCTGGTTTTGAGCTTATCATTCATCTTTGCGCCCTTCTTGCTTTCTTCCCCATCTGTTACATCGACTGTACCAGCATGCAATCTTTTTTGATGGCAAGGAGAAAAGCTTTATTTGGAAGTCATGTCACCTCAAGTTGCTGTTCCAGTGAGAAAGCGCGGAAAAAGTCATTTTAAAAAGCTGCAAGAAATCTCTTGCTTTAGATGCAGTTTATGTAACCCCTCAGTCACCTAAACGTTACATTTTTTTCTCTCTTCTCTTTAAAACAGCTGCTGTTTAGGGAATCTTTAAAGTAAAGAATAATGTAATAATTTGGCATGCTGCTTGCAGAAACAGTGACATTTCTGAGCCACCACAAGTTCTTGTTTTTTCATTTGGATTTTTTTTTTTGTGTAGATTCAATTTCTGCTGTAGCAAGTTTTGCAGAATGTGCCTTATCAGGAGCTTTGTGGTGCTCTGGCTGATGCTGAGGCTTATCTTTATGAGCACAATGACTCTCTAAATAGTGCCAGAGAGAGACAAAGAGAGTGCATGTGTGCGTGCTTTTGGGGTTTGTGTTTTTTTTTTTGGTTTTTTTGTGGGGGCTGTCCACAGGAATGGGGCAGGCACTATTGTAAGCTTATGTTAGTGCAAGTGGTAAGTGATATTTTCAAGCTGAAGGAGAGAGAAAACAGGAA